ACTGGTAGTTTGTAGTCTGGATTTGAACTATATCTTTTGTGACACCAGTCCTGGAACTTTTCTGACACAGAATAAGATTTAAAGGACGTGTATCTAAGGATTAAGAGCAAATAAAAGATAAAGACTAAAAAAAATATCTCACTAGGGCAGGGGTCGCTGTTGCAGAAGTCAATGTGCACATCGTTGCCCTCACACTGCCGGCCACCGTGCTGAGGGGCGGGGCTGGCGCAGAGGCGGGTCCTCTGTCTGGTCCCGCCCCCACAGGAAACACTGCAGGCTCCCCAGCTCACCCAGGACGACCACTTTCCATCCACTGGAGAGCAGAAAATATGAATCAGAACGTTCAGTCATCTTGTATAGATTAAAAACCCGATTTTAGCCTTGACATCCACTGGGGAAGAGGTCAGAGTTTCTCCAAGCATAATCCTGCCCTTACCAGGACAAGGTCTCTCCTTGCACACTTGTGTTTGGGTGTCTGTGCCCTCACACTGCGGCCCGTCGAATGCTGGAGGGGGGTTGTTGCACAGCCGGATCCTGGACTGCATGCCTTTACCACAAGTCTCGCTGCACGGGCTCCACGGTAGCCAAGAACCCCAGTTACCTGCCACTGTGGAGCACAAAGTGTGTCTGTGATGCATTCAGTGCTTACATTTTTACTGCAGGGTACATCTATTAACAGAGCCGTTGCACAAATACAGCAGTGATCTAGTGAACACAGACATTTGGTAACCACGAGATAAAGAAAAGTGAATTTAATGCAAAAATACCATTTATACACAGATGTAACAGTTTATATGGGTAATTAATGGCAACTAGATCAGTTTCCCAAATATTTTTAGGCATGAGTTTCTCTTCACACTGCTGCATTTATAGAAAATGTGTTTGCTGTTATGTTTTCCCACCTGGACATGGTCTAACGCTGCACATGATGACCTCCACTGCCTTCCCCTCACATGGCCTGCCTCCATGCTGGGCTGGAGGGTTACTGCAGGTTCGAACCCTGGTTCTGTTGCCCTGGCCACAGCTACGTGAACACTCCTCCCAGAGAGTCCACTCTGACCAGCTACCATCCACTGCACAGGGACAAAGATATAGATGCTGTTACCACATGTTCCCTTTGCACAGAGTCTCATCTACAAGTTTTCAGAGATTAAGGCCCCGTTTACACGCAGCAAAAACGGTGATATTTCAATGGACCTTTGGTTTACATGTAAATGAAGCTACAGGTCACCGAAAACGATCACATCTGAAAACACCGGCCAAAGTGGAGATTTGGAAATGCTCCGTCGTTGCATGTAGACAGGAGGAGACGGAGTCTGACGTCACAGTGTGCAACAAAAGCGTCATCAGCGTCATATGTTTGCGACCCATGTTTACAGTTTGGCTTCTGTGATAGAAAGTTAATATTTTCAACTATTTTCCTTGTTCTGTCCTCTAACACCACGTTTAGGAGCAGCTCCACTTCTCTGTCGGTCCAAATTAACGACACTCGCGCCATTATCGTTGAAGTAACAGGAAGCAATTTGTGCCATTCGTTGTTGTGTTTTTTCCAGGATTCTGATTGGCTAGCATGGCTTTATGCTTCCAGTTACACTGCCCCCTATAGGCCTGGCATGTTCATAGCAGCTCTTAACAACATGTTTATGTGGGTTTGTGTAAACTAAGATGTTTTTGAAAATGATCTGTTGTGAATGTTATTTTTGAAAACGTCAACTGTTTTTGTACATATGAAACCAGCTCAGTGTGAATGTGGCCAAAGATGAAGCCTCTTTCTCTCTCTCTTTCTTTTTTAAAGCCCTCTCACCTGGACAGGGTTTCCCTTGACAACGGCGTGTCTCTGCGTCTGATCCTGCACAGTGTCGCCCTCCGTTGGCAGGTAAAGGATTGTTACACTGCCTCAGCCTCTTCTGAGCCCCGACGCCGCAGGAAACACTGCAAGGAGCCCACTCTGCCCACTCTGAGTAGCCTCCATGGACTGCAAAACAAGTTATTGAACTTTGTTACCTGACATCTAGTCCAGTTTCTCCAAAAACAAGGTACAATAAAACCAAAAAAAAAAAAACGTCTAGCCCACCTCGGACAGTAAGAGTCACCCTGACCAGCACTGATCCGAGCAAGTTTCTGGCCACACATTCATATTCAGCCGTGTCCTCCTTCTGCGCGCTGCTGATTCTGAGGGAACCATTGGACAGGGTGGAGAGGCGGTCGTTGCCCAGTAGGGGGCGCCCCTGCCGGGACCATTCTATCATGGGGGTAGGCTCGCCTTCTGCCTGACAGTTGAGCACAAAGGTAGTCCCGGCATCTACTACTGTCTCCACCGGCTCCACAGTGATGGTGGGTGCACCTGAAGGAGCAGAGCACTTCTTTTAGATCTACATCCGAACTGAATAAGCGTTTAAAAACTGTTCATTTCACATTTTCTTTTCACAGGAAAACGCTAGAATTAATGCCAAAACAGAGTGATGGAAATAGACACTTACTCTGCAAGGTAAGAGTGACGCTTCTCTCCACCACCCCGGCATCGTTTGTCGCCACACACATGTAGTTTCCTGCATCTTCACTCTGTCATCGAATCAAAATCGCAAAAAAAGAAAAAGATGTGTTGACATGCTGCTTAACCCTCTGGAAAGAAATCACTGAAATTACATTATTTATCAGTCAGAAATCATAAAAACNTGTTCCTACCTGTAGCAAACTCCACCTGCGTCTCTCGCCTGAAGACGCCTCCTGTTAGCGTGTAGCCGTTGACAGCCTCCCCTATTTCCTGAGCAGTGGTCCAGTAGACCGGGTTCAGGATGGAGATGAGCTTCCTCATTGCTGGACCTTGAATTTAAAGACCTTACGTTTAGTCTCACTAAGAAAGCTCAAGAGAGCGATTTACTTTATGACGCGGGGTGGTGTGAAGCTAATGGAACACTGACCTAATGTCCTCGGTACATTAGAAACTGTGGCTTTGATGAGTTTGCCGCCAGACTTGCTGTCTGTGATGGTGGCATTGAGGATGGAGATGCCAAAATCAACATCATTGATGTTTCCTATGATGCTTCCTCGAGCCTTCTGGGGCCCACCTGGCAACGAGAGAAAGTATTTCAGTGTAAATGCTGCAAGTGTATAAAGGATCACATACACGCTTAGAGCACTTTGATGACTTGCTTTACCTGGGCAGGCCTGAGAGTTACACCTGGACAGCTGTGTGGAGTCTCCAGGACACGGCCGGCCACCGTTACTGGGAGACGGACTGTTGCAGAGCCGAACACGTGTCCTCTCACCACCTCCACAGGAAGCGGAGCATTCTGCCCACGGCTGCCAAGGAGCCCAGTTACCATCAACTGCAAGGATGCATCCCAGAAATACACACGTGAGTTGCACAAGTAGTAGGACAGCTACACATTCTAGCACACAAACAGTAGAGGTTGAGGGCAAATCAGCCTTTTTTAAGATACTTTTAAAACTATGAAAACATAGTTTATAGTTATTAACAAATGAAGACACATTCTACATGTTTCCAGACAAACACAACAGGTTGTGTTCCATTAACAGATATCATGTGTAGACACTTTATTTTTCATTTCAGTAGCATTTTAAGCATTTGTTCGAGCATCTACGACGTCTGACTCTTCAGTCATAAGCACACTGACTCACCGGGGCAGTTGGCTGTGCTGCATCTCTGTATCTGTGTATCAGCACCTGCACAAGCTCTCCCACCATTGGCAGGTCTGGGGTTATCACAGGTCCTGTAGCGCCTCATCTGACCTCCGTTACATGTCTTACTGCAGCT